TTTTTAATAATGTCTTCTTCACAGTATCTCGCGCTGGCAACTTCACATCGTTCTTACACAAATATTTGTTATTCCATTTGAAAAATAATAATAATATCCATCTCACTCTCTTTATCTCTCTCTTTCTCTCCCTATGTTAGAAGATGCATTTTCGAATGAAAAAAAAAAGTACATATATAAAGAGAGAGAGTGCGAACACAAAAAACTCTCTTGATCTTTTCCTCCAAGGATCATCAACACTGCAAATACCCTTCATCTCAGTATGATCCGGGAACATGTCCCTTATGCATTAGTAGTTGTTACTTTATTTCCTGATAATATGGCGCTGCTGCTGTAAGGAGGGTTCTGGATAGCTTGAGTTTGATATTTAGGATCCTTTTCCATGCAATATGGGGTGACGTTCCATGGAATCGTATTGTCTTCAGGTTCACCTGCGTGTAAGGCAATTGTACGGATAAGTCCACCACTTGAGCCATCACGACTATATGCATGCGCAACAGCTTGTTGACAGAATTTTAAGCACTCTTCTTTGGTCATACCTGGTTTGTAATTCGCATCAAAAAACGAGTATAAAAAGATGGAACCACTTCCACCAAGGGCATAATCGAGCTTCACACAGGAACCTCCCGAAGGAATGCTGTACACTGAGCCACCGTTAATCGGATCGTATCCGGCGACGATAATACCGGCTGAAATATGCCACTTGTTCATATAACACAATTTATGGAAGATATTGGCAGCTGTAGCCACATTTGCCTCTTTTTCAATATCCATTTCGTATGAATGTAAATAATTGGATACACGTTCGGCAAGAGCTTGTGTATCAGCCGCGGATCCACTTCGGCAGCAGTATATATTCTTCGTTAATTTTGTAAGCTTGTTAGAAGTGCGATTAACTACGTACGACCCACTTGAGGTACGGGAATCTGCAGCCAAGACAACACCACCGTTATAGGAAACTGCGAGAATTGTAGTCCCAAGTGAAACCGCTTCGCTGAGCTGGGGATCAATAACAGCTGGTTCAGCTTGGAACAATTCCATCGACCTTTGGATTGGGCCATTTTCTGATAATGGAATCGTTTTATTATGCGGATAAGAAGGATCCTGCAATAAAGTATTTTCAGGCCTCTGAAGCATGTTTTAGAACTTTATTGTTTATCGGTGTTTCTTGAGTAAAATATGATTTAGTTCTGAGATTGTGATTTCAATGAAATAAAAAGAATCAGCCTGTAGATCAGTAAATAAGAAACCCTTTTGTACCATTTTGTCAAAGAATGAGTCATCTTCAAATATCATAAACTTTTGGGGAATATAAAATCATATAACTAAACGTCAAGTTGAACCATGGAATTCTCACTCTCTTTTGGTCTTTTGATTTTCGACTAAATTGATTATTCAAATAAAATTCATTCTGCGTTTTACGCCGAAGGTGTGAAAAAATTTTTATGTGTTTCGCGTACCGGATGATCTGCAGGATTCGCGCGAGATTCATAAACAACATTCTTGGCAACTTGTTGGGTCGAAGATCTCCCAGAGTTCTCTCCATAAAGATCAACACGTAACAAGTGTGTCTCTTCTTCACTAAAACTGTGATCAAAGTATAAAGCTAATGAACTTACAGTGGCAAAATTTATTGCATTTAGTTTATAGACCACTCTATCCTCACCAGAAACTTGAGCCAGTAAAATTTCTTCCTGAGGCTTAAGACGGCGTACTGAGTCAAAGCCAAGAACCTCGGCAGGGTTTGCAAATATCTTCACCTGTGAAGGTGCAAAATCATTCATTGGGCCCAGTATAGATATCCCTTTAAGCTTGCAAATGGATGAAAGAGGTAATAATATCAATAGCTCTGGATCCTCGTCGCTACACAAAGGAACATTGTTATCCTGAGTTTTGGGATCAAAGACTCTTCTCGCCTGTTGAGAAGAACTACGTGCATTCCACATTTGAATAAACGATAAATCGATAGAATCATTCAATGGTGTACCGAAGCCAAATAAGCCATCCTTCAAAGAGACATCACCCAAGTGATTGTGAGCACCAGCTTCTTGGCGGCAATTGCAAGGCATATTTAAGTTTAGAAAGTTAATAAAATCTAAATGATAAGGATAATGTAAATAATAAGCTGATTAACTTCATAAAATAATCTCAAAGTAAAAAATAATGAAAAAAAAGTAATAACCATAAATAACAAGGAATAAACCAATACATGCCCTGTTATACTCTTGATTATGCGCAAATGGTTATACGTCTGTTTAAAAATATGAATACTTAGAAGGAAAATTCATTGTGTTGCTTATGCTTCCATGGGGCAAAAGGAGCAGTATGAAAGCGGAACATCTCATCAGCTACTGCGGAAGGTGGCATAATGCCTTTTTCAGAAAAAATAAGAGTAATCATGGAAGGTTGAACAAATTCGACAAGTGGCACAACTCCTAAGCTGTCAGGTTGTTTTAAATCTTCTGTAGTAAGCGGAAAAATGTGTGCAAACTTAAACGTCTCACATAGCACATAAAACGGAACATTCTTTGAAGACGCCACAGTTGCTAATTGCATAGAACCAGTGGAATGAACTAATCCCCCTTGCTTTGTTACGCAGTATGCTCCTGTGATAACAAAGTCTACAATACCCATAATAGAGCCCACACCACTATCCGGTATAATGGTGCAATATAGTGAAAGCTTATCTCTAAGACGCATGCCCTCTGAAGTTAAGGCAACCTTCTCAATTAAAGCCTCACCAGAACCGTTGGGGCACTCTTCACGGCCTGGGCGTCCCTCACAAATGTAAAAGTGAACACCCTCATACTCTTGTATAGCGCAAGCAATAGCCAAAGCAAGAAGATTACCAGATCCATGAACAAGGATTTTAGATGTATTGCGAACAAATGGAAGCATGTCATTTATTTGATCCTTTTGGCTGCATTCGCAATCATGAAGCCTTGATTGGCATCGTTCATTCATATCACTTAAACTTTTAGACAAATTGTTAACATTGGCCACATCCTTCGTAAGAAAGACGTGAAAGCGCTCAAATCCATCACCGAATGGTTCATATTTTTTTAACGTTTTACCGATTTCAACATCTAACTCGGAAAATGTTTGAAACTGTTTGAATTTAATAAGTGTCTGTACTTCAGTGATTGCCTTCATCATAATACTCACATCATATTCTTCACAAGGGACATCCATTTTCGCTAAGAGTTTAATAAGGATCTAAAAAAAAAGTTTTGAGAGTCAATTCTATGATAAATATTATATAACAGTAAAGGAAAATACTATGCATAGTGAATTTTATTGAAAGGCATAATATACTACATTTATCACTTAATTTCAGAAATCCTGTCTCGGAAACTAAGATTGATAAATAACTGGTGATGATAAAGAAATGATACAAAAATACATAGAATTCATTATAGATTATTAATGTACAAAGAAGTTTTACATTATACCACAAACTTGGATCCTTTTATGTTACAAAACTAACTCAATGACCGTGCATCAAAACTTTGTAAACTAAAAAACACCCATTTACAGAATTGTAGTGAAGCTTCCACCCCCCACAGCAATTCGTGTTGTAGTGGTATATCTGTCGCGCCGGGGACTGTTTTATTTTAAAAAGAAATAATAAGAAAATAAGCATACTATATCATTCCCTCAACTCCCTTGAATAAAGTACATAAGCTTCGAAAGAATTTACAAAGAAAGGATTTTCCAACTGATAACAACATACTTAAAACCGTTTTACGCATCAAATTTGCAGGTTTACTAATAGCCATACTCAGATAAATCATTCAAATGGTTCACAATTGTATTTATTCCATAAAACAGAGTATAATAGAATCTGCAATAGAATTAAATATAAACCTTTATCAAATTATGATCATTTATCAACGAAAATTCTACTAGTTAAGCGTGTTTTTCAATAAATATCTAATGAAAAAAATGTTTTTCTTGTTCAACTCAAAACGATCCCTTCAGGGTATTTTACTCGACCTGGGGCTATGTGGTGCGGAGAGAAACGGGTTAGTTACGCGCAATAAGGCCCCACAGTTTTTTGCCTTCTGAAGAGGAAGGGGGGAACCACAAACACTAAACAATATTAGGCGTCCATAAAAATCTTTAATATGCACCGAAACATTTGTATACGGCGGATATTTCCCATTGGTTCGGGGGGCATCTTAATTTTAAATACTTATTATAAATCTGGGGTAATGCCTTCATTTTCCACAATTACGTGATTTCCCCTCAGTCTGCCCTTTAGTTCTGTTTCCCAAAACCTATTTTTTTCTGTTAAAAATAAGTAAACGCATAGCGATGTTTTGCGTTGTTAAATATTCAGTTTTTACTTTCCCCCACTTGGCTTATTAGTTCCATCAAATTCGTTTTATTATGTCATTAATTTCATAACGTTAAAATAGCTCTGCAGTCGTTTATGCTTGTAAAATGTCGAATTTCATCTCTTGTAGTGGGTGTCGTTTCAGTATTTTGCCTTTAAAAAGAATACATCTTGACACTTATATCAAAGTTCATACTATGTGTGCAATGTTTAAATATTTGTTATTGCAAATTGAAGACACCCTTCGTTTTTCTAAATTTCAAATTATTTACGATTTAAATCAGAACAAACATAAAAAAGGGTTTATATAGCTAAATAAACAAAAAGATAGAATCTTCAAAGAGACCATGATTCGGTCTTCTTTAATTATTTTTTCCTTTCTGAGACTATAATTTTTTATTACATTGTCGGTGCAACTTTTGTAAATGTTTTTATTTCCCCTTATTATTATTTGACACATTATCTGCTAATATATATATATATATATATATATAGTTATATTATCATCATAGAACATTTTGAAAAGTATGTCATTTTTCTTTTTATTAAGAGCAAAATCTTATTCAACTGGTATGGGTTGAACTTTTTATTGTATTATGGTACCTAAGTTATTAAATCTGATTTAGACGAATGATAATGGTGCTAATCCATAAGAATCAAAATGTAATCTCACCAGTTCATTTTTATGTACGTTAAGCATAATATTATCACTTTGCCCTCTGTGTGCTTTTTTTGGAGCATCTTTTCAGAACTCAAAGCTGTATTATCGGAAAATCCTAAAGTGCTTTATAAGTAATCTATTCGATGTTTTTCATCCACTGCTTTGATGTTACACACTTAATTATTGGCATGGAGTTATAAAATTGATCTCTGCTATTAACGTTCTTGGATTTATTATTTGTTGTTTCATTGTCTACTTTCATCTAACTGTTTTCTATAGAATTCAATGCCAAGTAGAGCGGTTTTACGAAAAAAGGCAAGAAAGGAAAAAAGTCTTATAAAAAAATCCAAATTAGAAGATCTTAATGCTCATAAAAAAGCAATCAACCTTTTTGATGGTAAAAACTCTACTCTACTAAAAAAATCACATGGTCGAGTTAGTGTTGTGGACCAAACACTCACAATAGATGGACCTGGAGATAAAAATACTTGTACTATCACAGAACTAAGTGATCTTGACCAAGAAAATTCTAATGTTTCTGCTCTAACACATAAAGAACGTAAGAAAATGGAAGCAAAAAAACGTTTTGCAAAGCAGGTTAAACGAGCCAGTTGCGAGCTTTCCAGTTTAGTTCCCTCAAGCAATGAAAAGGAAACGATTTCAGCAGGTGAAAAGCTTCGACATGATCCACGTTTTAAGAATGGAACGTTTTGGCGCGATCGAAAAGAAAGGCGTTCCCGGACTCTTTTTCTTGGTGGTATACCAATCCATTATAGTGTTGAAAAAGTCATTGATCTTATAATGACTCTTCTGGATGGGAACAATGAAACATATGAAATCTTGCAAAATCGGCCAGAAGGAATAGCTGTGGTAGAAAAAGTTGACTTCTTACCTCTTAATCACCACTCGAAGGTTAGAAACATGTTTGTATCTATTCAATCTACTTCTCTTGCAAAGTGCATAGCTGGTTTATTGAATGGGTATAAAGTAGAGCTATACGCCTTAAGATGCAATTTTGTTGATGATAAAAAGGAGAGGGCTGAAGCTATTTCTCGTCGTGACCAAAAAAGTACTAAAAAGGTCTAAATAGTAAGTGTCGTGATCTAATATTAGTGGTGTTGACAATATTGTATAAACAGTGTTAACATTTTTTTTGTGTGTGTACCCTGCTTGGTCATTTTCATATATCTTATACATGCTTAATCGCTTCTATTTGTCCAAATATTGTGAGTTTACACAAATAAAAAAAAGTTATCACAGTCTATTGTAAGGTTGTCATTTTGATTTACTAGTTTAAATTCAGGTTTGGGGCATATTCCTTGTCATTTTTGTTTAGTCATATAGTCACTTATTTTATTTACTAAATTATTCTATTTTGATAGGAATATATTGCCATTTTATTCACTTTGAATTTCACTCTCAGAAATTGATTTCGACAATAAGATTGAAGCAATAATAGCCGTATTAAAAACTCATAATTTGCGCTTATAAATTAAATTTTATACGGTAATCTTCAATATCTAAAGCTATAATTATAGATGCCACTAAATGCCTTGCCAAGCGATCCAGTTTCGTTAACAGTTAAAAAACTGTGTGCTGAGCTTCAAGTCAAACTGGAGAACGGCTTAACAGATGACGAAGCTTTGATCCGTAGTGAGCATTTTGGTTTGAACGAGCTCCCCACAAGTCCACCTACACCATTCTGGAAGTTGGTTTTGGGGCAATTTAATGATGTATTGGTGCGTATTTTGTTGATGGCGGCTACCGTCAGCTTCATTATGGCAATCTTTGAGCAGAACTTTGCAGACTTCGTTGATCCCTTTATTATTTTACTCATACTAACCTTCAATGCCATTGTTGGTGTTTGGCAAGAAAGGCGAGCTGAGGACTCAATTAATGCCCTGAAACGTTTTGTGCCTATCACAGCGGTCGTGATCCGGGATGGAAAAAGGAAGACAATACGTGCTGAACTATTGGTTCCAGGAGATATTGTGGAAGTTAAGGTTGGTGATCGCGTACCCGCGGATATTCGTGTAGTAGAAATTCAAAGCACAACTTTACGGGTAGATCAATCTATTTTAACTGGTGAATCAGAAGAAGTTATAAAGCAAACAGAAGAAATTTGCTCTTATAGTGAACGCTTTCCGGCTAATATGATCTTCAGTGGTACCGCTATAGTGTATGGAAAAGCTTATGGCGTGGTTGTTAAGACAGGCAGCACGACTGAAATTGGCCTGATTGAAGAAAATGTTCGCGAACAGGAAGACGTCAAAACACCTCTTCAACGCAAATTAGATGAGTTTGGGGTCCTTCTATCTAAGGTCATTAGTTATATATGTCTAGTAGTCTTTGTGGTGAACATGTTTCATTGGTTTTACCATCATGAGAACAATGACAACGAGGTTTGGTACGAGCGGTATGTGCAGCCGACGGTGCACTGTCTGAAAGTAGCCGTGGCGCTTGCGGTTGCCGCCATTCCAGAAGGCCTACCGGCGGTGGTGACTACTTGTTTGGCCTTGGGAACGCGGCGCATGTCCCGCTGCAATGCCTTTGTGCGCGACCTTCCCAGCGTGGAAACTCTAGGTCGATGCACCGTGATCTGCTCCGATAAAACAGGTACGCTAACCACAAACTGCATGTCCGTTGTGGAGGTCGCGACTGCGGGACTTCATTCTAAGACGCTAAATGTTTACAAAATAGAGGATTCTAAATATGATATCATTACGAATTCGATCACTAGTGATAGAGCGCCAAGCATAAAGCCGCTAGCATGTAACGCAGCTCTCGACATGCTCAGTACGGTAGCGGTGTTGTGCAACGAGTCTAGTCTATATCGCAATCCTGATGGGAACACCGAGAAAATTGGCGAATCGACAGAGGCTGCATTACTTGTTATGTGTGAAAAACTCATCCAAGCGTCTGCTGAAACCCCGAACTGCAGTCTGCCCTTAAATGAATTTCTTGTATCCAAGCAAAAGCTGTGGGATAAACAAGCGACGTTGGAATTCACGCGCACGCGTAAGTCAATGAGTGTGTGTTGCGCGTCCAAGTCAAATCCTAAGATTAACAACCTCTTTGTGAAAGGCGCTCCTGAAGAAATTTTGCGGCGTAGTTCTCAAGTGATGTTAGCAAATGGAGAAATAGTTCCTATCGACGAGGTCATGTTAGATAATATTGTAAAGCAAACCAAACTTATGTCAAGCAGTGAAAAAGCGCTGCGGTGTATTGGTTTCGCCTTCTCCCCGTGTCTTCCAGTAAAGGAGTTGAAACTGTCCAATCCAGATAATTTTGAAGCTATTGAAAGTGATTTGATTTTTCTAGGGGTATGTGGAATGCTCGATCCTCCACGTGAGGAAGTGCCTGAAGCGATTTTAAAATGCCACTCGGCTGGTATACGGGTCATTGTTATTACAGGTGATAAGAAAGAAACCGCAGAGGCGATGTGTCGCAAAATTGGCTTGCTCAAGAAGGAAGACACTTCACTCCTAAGCTACACAGGTCATGAGTTTGATAAGATGTCATCGGTGGAAAAACGAAAAGCCGTTCAAAACGCCGTCGTTTTTAGCCGGACGGACCCTTCCCATAAGATGCAATTGATTAAATTGCTCCAGGAGCAGAAGCTTATTTGCGCCATGACAGGGGACGGCGTGAATGACTCTCCAGCTCTGAAGTGCGCAGAAATTGGGATTGCCATGGGTTCGGGAACGGAAGTTGCCAAAGCTACAAGTCAGCTGATCTTGGCCGATGACAATTTCGCAACTATTGTAAAGGCAGTGCAAGAGGGGCGAACTATTTTTAACAACACCAAACAGTTCATTCGCTACCTTATCAGCAGCAACATTGGTGAAGTGGCTTGCGTGCTGGCGACAGGGATTCTAGGCCTCCCTGAGGCGTTATCGCCTATTCAGCTTTTATGGGTGAACCTAGTAACCGATGGGCTTCCAGCAACGATGCTTGGATTCAATGCGCCCGAACCCGATATCATGGAGCATCCCCCACGCAATGTCGATGAGCCCATTGTGAATGGGTGGCTATTCCTCCGTTATATGGTAATTGGGGTGTACATTGGCCTTGCAACCGTCGCTGGATTCCTTTGGTGGTTCTCATACAATTCCTTTACTTGGTCAGAACTTACCTCCTTCACAACATGCGCAAACATGACCTCCGCTAAGTGCGTCGTTCTGGAAAACCCAGAAGCTGCACGATCTGTTGCGCTCTCTATTCTTGTCTTAATCGAAATGCTAAATGCGCTGAATGCAGTCAGTGAAAACCAGTCTATCATGATTTGTCGTCCAACGTCGAATATCTGGTTGCTTTTCGCTATTGCATCCTCAATTGTCTTACATTTGATGGTTATGTATGTACCTTTCTTTGCAAAACTCTTCCGCATTACACCGCTGGGAGTGGATCCAACATATGTGCAGTCAGCGAAGCCATGGAGCATTCTGATTCCAACAAGTTTTACAGAATGGAAAGTAGTGTTAGTGCTCAGTATTCCCATAATTTTCATTGACGAAATTTTGAAGTTTATCTCACAAAGGTCGACGCGAGCAGAGTCTAAAATGTCTTCTAAAAAAAAAAATTAGATAAGTATTGTGGGAACGTGAAGATGGGAAAAAAAACATGAAAAAATGATTCAATAAACCTATAGGGTTACATAATTTAAGAAATTTGCTCTACTTAAATATAATACAGCTGTGGAAGAACTTTGGAAGGTAGCCCATCTATAAAAATAAATATCGACTAAGAGCGATGATGTCTATAGATGATTCCCCTCATATTCTTTTTAATCCGTATGTGGTTCTATTATTGAGAAGATTAAATCTTATGAAAAGCTGATATTTATTTGTTATCACTTAACAATTCTTTATTTACACCAAACTATTATTTTTATCAAAAAAAAGGTCGTACTTATTATAATTTATTACTTGATTCTTATTTGATTGGTTATTTTGAAGAATTGAATTACCCTTTCGGGATATTTCAGCACTGACGTACGGAAGTCTATATTACACATTCAGACCTTTTTTGAACTCTTTTCTTACAGATCGACGACGCTATGTCATGTCTTCCTTCCATTCCTCTGGTTGGAAATAATTCATATGGATGTGTTCGAAACAACATGCCCTTTGTATCAGATGCTGTGCCCAAAACGGCTTGCAACACACAGGCCTTAAACCGATTGCAATCATTGTGCTACGAACCATCTATTCCAGTAGAATCCAGGCAGAAACTGCTGGCTGTTCTAAATACCTTGCAAAGCTCTAATCATAATACTCTAAATACCGTGTCTTTGCAGCCTAATAATGACGGATTATCAAATACTAAACAAAATAAAGACCAAACTTCGAAAGGAATCGATATACATGCACCGCTGTGGCATAGGGCGTATGCGCAAAATGATGGTGAACGGCGCTCGCGTGCGGTGGGGTTTAATGTTGCAATGTCCCCCTTCAGAAACTTTGCCAAGTCGAATTCGTTCAACAAGCGATCCCTTCCTGTGCTTCAAGATCACACAGAAACCTTTGCCCAAATGAACAAAGTGATGTGTCAAACTATACGCTATGTAGAATCCGTTTCTGAATTAGAGTTTGACATTAATGATGTCAAAGAATATGACAATAGTATTATGGTTGACAAAGAGCGACTTTTTATGTCCGTTTGTTGTAGTATATTTTCAAACTTCTCGCTCACGACAACATTGAGCCTGGATATCTCAAAATTGACTAATTTTCTAATCGACATATTTAACTACTATTCGGAAGAGCATTACTTCCACACCGCCCTGCACGCCGCGGACTCCCTTCAAATGCTCTCCTTGTTCTTCCGCGAGCCCAACACCAACTTCCTCTTCACCGATGAAGAGATCCTACTGGCCTTTCTCAGTGTTCTATGCATGGACATCGCCAACCCCGCCCTGCACTCCATGACCCTTGTCGAGCTCAACCACCCGTTGGTCACGGTATTTGGCAATTTGTCCGTCAAGAAACAAGCCAGCCTCATCGTCTTCCTGCATCAGCTCTTCCTAGATGAGAACTTCTTCATGACCATGCCACAGTCCATGCTCTACGCGAAAAACCTGTTACAGGAGAGCCTCAACACCATTGTCATCTTCACCTCCAGCCGACTTCGGTCCTATCTCATGAACCAACTGCGCTGTGTGGCAATGTTGAATCGGGTGGATGGAGAGAGCATCCCGTACCTGCTCTCGGCCCTCACCCACCTTTCCGTGAACGCCTTCGCGTTTCGTCCGCGAAGGCAATGGGTCTTCTGGGGAAACTGTTTGTACGCCGAGTGGAAAAGAGAGGCGGAGGAACGACAACGGCATTGGTTAGGGGAGTTGTTTCCCAATCTCAATTACGACCCCCGGTCGGCAGTTGCGACACTTGTGGGGTATTGCGCTTCCACGGTCAAACCACTTGCCGACGTCGTCAAATCCCTCGTACCGACAGACCTTTATGATAATCTAGAGCGAAATGTAGATCGGGTTGCGGTTGAGGCCGAGATGGAATCCACCCGATGCGTCTTTTCAATCCCGAAGGAAACGCGAACCTGGAGTGACAATAGCTCGTCGGTGATTGAGATCCTCAGAAAGAATACGGCGCACGCCAATAGCTTGGATCGGAAGGCCTCTAAGTGCGCCATCCTAAATGCCTCACCCCAGCGATCTGTGACGTACTCGATGGAAAGGCAAAACTCTATCATGCAGCTGTCTTGTCAACCTTCCATCAGCGATATCGAAGTGGACTGCTTTCGAGCATGTGGGAGTGAAGCAAATCCTAACTCGGTTTCCCCCACACGATCGGAACACTATTTCTCGTTTCTGCGGCTTTATGACGAATTTGAACGAAGTGGCCGATCATCATTGGATTTTCTGAGTAAACTTATCTTTTTTGCCTTACAATTAGACCCACACTATATCGGACGCTACGCAAGGGATGCCTTTGGGGATGACTGTACGGCTCAGCAGTGTGGAGAAATGGCGGTATTAATTCGCTCAGTTGAGGACACGCCATCGACGGCTGAAGCCATTGTCAATAGCCGCTCTCGCAGTCATGGGCCTACATCAATGCCAGACGAATCGAACAACACTGATGGATTTATACTTCTTCTGATGAACATGTATATACAACGTGAAGAAGAAACTGAACGATTAGTTAGTTCACATATATTACAAGAAAATATTAGTGAAGATACCGAATGCGATTACAAGACATCACCCTCAAATATATTGCGACTGTCCAAAGACAATAAAACACAACGTGACTCACCTATACGCCTTCCTGACAATCCTATTACCTTAGAAGTAAAGAATTCTTTTTCGATTGATAGCTTAATATCAGATCTGGAGAGTAGCAATTAATTGCTTTCCATATTTTTTTTGCTATAATGTCAAAAAACAATGAATGGTCATCCATTATATCTGTTGCTTTTTCTTTATTACATTCTCGAATGCACATTTTACCAATTCCTAAATAACTGCACACAACACCAATATATCGACATCCTGTTGACATGAATCCTCTTTCACACATTGTACCGGCATTACATTAAGGTAATAGAGGCCATTTTCTACCCTTTTAAATACTCTTTAACTTTCACTAGTTGAATTTCTACGCAATTTTTCTAACCCATTATCTATACATTCATGGTTCGAAATTTTGTTGATTAGAGTGAAGATAAATCGAACAGGTGCAAATCCGAGTCTTTTGATTTCATTCCATTTTTTTGTATACACTTTTATCTTCGTAAACCGAATTAGATGTTTACTGAAAAAAAAAGTTGAATAACGGTATCATTTACATCTGCATTGGCTTTACAATGGCCCCATGTACGACTGGGTTTCTTGGAGGGTTGTGTAGTGCTGTTTTGGTGGCGTCTATGCTCCTTGGACACGACTTATTGAGGAAGTCAAACTTAACGGATCTGCATATTGAGGAATTAGTACACCATTCAGACCTTATTTTAGGTAGATGTAAAATAATTATGGAAACTTTTTCTAGTATGGAATGCAAGGATCCTAGGATTCAGAGCGCGTCGGGTGAGAAAGCTGAATAGGGAAAAAAAATGCATAGATAGATGCATGTATGTCTGCTATTTATCAATAATTATGTGGGACAACATGATAACAGACTGAATATTGATGTTTTAGTCTCTCTCTTCTTTACTATTTTGGATGAAGAATATACTTAAACCAAAACACTCAAGGCTACTTTTCTGTATTCATCTTGCTTGTGTGGAAAAAGGTGTTATTTATGTCCTAATAAAGCTGAATTCTGAATTTCAGTCAAATAAGATCTAGAAGCTAAAGAATTCACCTCATGGGAGCAAAGACGTCAACTCAACAAATGCTCATTATCTTTCCTAGTAATTAGTCTTCAAATATTGTTTTTTTTTTTATCGCAACATGCTTGTTACAGTGTTCCAGAGTGGTGTAGGATTTTTTCTACTCTTCTGAATTTCAAGTAATACATGAGTAAATAAAATCACTCGTTAACCGATTTGGCTTCATACGATTCAATATCTGTGGTACTCTAACCACAAAGGCAAACCTCGGAATCAATGATTGCGGTAGCAACGATATGATTTATAAATCTTAAGTTTTTTTTAAAGTGAAAAAAATATTGAAGCTTCCCTTTATGCGTGTTACGATGTTTAAAATATTGCCAACAAGAATGTATCCATTTGTCTGTTTGCAGATGGGTCCAACCGAGCCTCTATCGCTCTTTAACACATCACACTCATACGGTTATCAATCTCTTATTTATTTCTGAAGAGTTTGTGAATAATGGACTTGTTTGAAAATCGTTGTTTAATTGTGCGGCCTAGCTTATTGTGCACAAGATCGATCTTTCAACTATATCGGTATATAATTGAAACCTCATTTCTACACATTATTCGGATGCCAACGGTTTATGCACCCTCAAATAAAGTACATATAATGACTCCAGGTCCGGTTTTGCAGGCGTATGCAAGGAAGATATATATCTGGATAAACATAAATACTTCCCTTTATCAGATAAAATCGATCAGACCCATACTATTTCACCACGAGTTAATCTTAAAGTATACACAGGATTGGGGAACTCGCAGTATAATCTCTATTGGTCAATAAATATTCGATGGAAAGTGAATGCAGATTGGTCTACCCTCCACTTCAATATACAATAAATGCGCCTTTACAACGGTGTTCACTCATCTAAGATGCAAATAAACAAACCCGGCTCTAATGTTGTCATCAGACCCACGGAAGTATTCACATTCCTCTCGAAGACTTAAATCCTATCAAATGTATTTTTTACATGGTGGGTATATTTGTAATTCATTCTAGCTTGAAAGTCATGTTAGAATTCATGCCCGCCATTCAAGCGATATACAAGCGATTGGTCTCAATGAATTTACATCCTTTCCATGGGACCACATTGGAATCTATGAAAACCAAGGGAAGTCTTCATTTATTTTCTATTATTTCCAACATTTAATATAGCTTCATGTTTCACTGATATTTATCAAAAGTAATTCCCAAAGCCCTAGTGAGGGTGATTGAGTAGAAAATGGTGTAGGTCATATTTCCACACGATATATTTCCGTGATAAAATTGGTAAAGGAATATAGAGACCTTTTTAAGTAATTTCGCTTCGTCCAATAAGTACTTTTGGGTTTTGGTAACTCTCGAATTCGCTTATTGGACTAAACCAGAAGTAAAATATCGATTAGCATGTATGAATTAAGTTGACGTATACATGTGGAAGGAATTGTGAAGACTTTACGGTAAATACAAATACCTTGGTTATTATTACTCCACCTCAAATTGAAGGCATATGCCGCCCTATATAGGTCTTTTACACTCTTTTGTGTATTCAAAAGTATTTTTTACTCCTGTTCATGTTTTTCTAAAATAAACGAGAATTAAATCAGAAACAATAAAACAAATTTGATTGATCTATGTTATTATATACATGTCGTTAACAACCAATTAAAGTCAAAATGTTCAACTCATTTTACATCAATATTTTTTGTGGCTACTCATGTTATTAAAATAAGGAAAAAAAAACGCACAGAATTTCACCTCAGCTGATTCCAAAGATGCTTGATTTTTTCTTTTTGTGTGTGTGTGGGGT